AGCATTTATATGGCATAAAAAGAGGGACAGCATGAGAAATACAATTTCCATTACTGCCCACTTAAAAGAAATCTATCTAGAGGTATGAACCTAAAACAGAGCAAAGGTGGTTGACAGTAGAGAAATATGAGGCAACAATTTAACAGACAGAGGCTGGAAGGAAGGAAGGCAGGCAGGCAGGCAGGCAGGCAGGCAGGCAGGGTGGGGCAGGACATGACTAGTAATAAAATGAGTAGGATTTTATAGCTCTAAACAATACTGTTTGAAAAAAAAAACCTGTAATATAAACCATAATTAAAAAGAGGTACTACAGTAATCAGACCAGTGAGAATGTATATGTCAAGTCTGAGAATCTACGAGGTATTCTATCATATTTGAGTATATATTATAAATGTGGGTAACAAAATATTATAGTAAGCTTTAAAATAAACCATCACTATGAATATTGCGTGCAGTCTCATGCAATTTGATGTAATTGGATCAAATGTGTAAAGAAAGTTTCCTTTGTAATTGTGTGAATCATAATCCTCAAATGATTCAGTTAGTTTTCCTCTTATACCCCAAGGCCTATGACACATACTTTAATAGATTACATGCACATACAATATCCTCATAAATCATTATTTTGGTTAACTGAAAAAACAGAGGACAGATACATATGCACAGGGAAGAATCATGCTATATAATAATAAGTTACGGGTAAAAGTAAAGACTGCTTCTAAAGCCCTATATGGAAGGGGAAATACCAGGTGTCCAAGCTGGTTTTAGAAAAGACTGAGGAACATGAATCATTTTTGCTGATGCACACTGGAGAAAGCCAAAGAATATCAAAAAGAAATCAATATATGCTTCACTGATCATAGAAAGACCTTTGTGTCAATCATGTCAAGCAGTATAATGTGTTTAGAAAAATGGGAATCCCAGAACATCTCACTGTCCTATACACAGGTCAGAAAGCAACAGTCCAGAGTCAGTCCTGGCAGAGTGAAATGATTGGCTCCAGGTTGACAAAGGAGTAAGACAAAGCTGTATCGTACCCCCTTATTTACTCAAGTAATATGCTGAATATATATTGAGCTAAACTGGACTAGAAGATCAGCATCATTTTAAAACTAAAGGAAGAAGCATCAATAACCTGCGCTATGCTGATAACACTACTCTGATAGTTGAAAATGCAAATGATCTGCAAACTCTAGTAATGAAAGGAGTGAATCTTGGACTAAAATTAAATGGAAAGAAGACAAAGATGAACAAATAATGACATCAAGTAAAGCAACCAGCCTTAGAATTGACAGTGAAGTGGTGGATAGCTACTGCCTTTTAGGATTGACAGTAAAAAATCAGCAGTCAAGAAATAAACCACAAACTTGTACTTGGTACAGTAGCAGTGAAGACCTTGGAAAAGATATTCAGATGCCAGGATATGTCTATATCTACAGTGATTAGAATGTAGGCAATAGTTTTCCCTGTGACACTCTAGGGAAGTGGAAGTTGGACTTTGAAGAAGCATGATAGAAAGAGTATTGCTTATAAATTTTGGTGTTGGGGGAGACTCCTGAGAATACCATGGATAGCTAAGAAAACAAAGAAATAGATCATAAAACAAATCAGTCCAGAGGTCTTACTCAAGACACAAATGACCAGGCTCAAATTATCATACTTCAGACACATTGTGGGAAAATCTAGCTCTCTGGAGAACTCCATAATGCTGGGAAAGGTGGAAGAAAAGAGAAGAGGACAACCAACAGCGAAGTAGATGGACTCAGTTACATTGGCAATGGGCGTACCATTGGAAGCCCTGAAAGACCAGGCTGGGGACAGATTACCATGGACAACATCAGTCTGTGTGGTCATTAAAAGTCAACACTCCTGGAGTCTTCTTTATGGACAAAACCATGTAGTTGTCTTATTAAAAATACAGAAGCCTTCTGATTCCAGTTTAGCCTATAGCCCTAGAATTTATTATTCTCCCAAGTATTAACCAGGTTTGATCCTTGCTCGTTCCTTCAGGATAAGCTAATTTAGCTAAGTGCTGCCACAATACAATGATGGTAATGGTTTGCCTTAACTATTAATAACAAAGCCCTTTATTGCACTAAAAGCTAATAACTGGAAATGTCATATACTCCTAATATTGGTTCCACAAATTAGTCAACATTTAGTTATCAATGAAAATGGTATCTCTAACATGTCACTCAAAAAATATTATATTAGTTGACAGCTGGAGGTACTTAGTGCAATAATGTACAATTACAGAAAGATTTTTAAGCCATCAAACTGATTTTGTTCTTGAGCAAACAGGAACCACAAATGCATTTCTATCCTGTGTTTTCTTCATGTAAGTAAAAGCAATGTCAATAACAATTTAAAAAAGCACACATTAGCAACATACTTGTCAGCTCCTCTTTCACCAAACAATTTAAGCCATTATCATTTCAATAACAACAACAACAGCAATAGCCAAATCCAGTCTAAACAGCTGGCTGACTGTGTGACCAACAATAATTCAAGTGAATGCTGAGCCTGAAGATGGTAGCTTGCAAAGTGAACTAGATAATTTGCAGTAGAGATAATTTCTGAACTAGAGACTTTCCAATTCAAAACTCAGATTGTTAATTACTATATTATTCTAATTCTATAAAAAATATGCTATTTACACATTGAATACAAACTATAAGCTGATTCCAGTTTTCTCTAACGTTTTCTATTAATTTTAAATGTACAGGCCATATTGTAGATTAATAGAGGACTGGTATCTGTTACTGTGGAGCTCAGACATACTATTGCTCAATTCCTTTGTATATTGACAGTTTATCTTTTGTTTGAAATAACTGGGACTATTTGATGTAACAAAATATCTTAATGTTTACTGTTCATATAGAGATGCTCACATTCTTCTGGCAATTATGTTTTAGGAAATCTCCAAAAGAGGAAGATACGCAGTGCAAAATTCTGCTAATTATGAGTCAAATTCTGCCAGTAAAACCAAAAGAGAAATACTTGAAATGGCCAATCCAGAGCCCATACAATAGTGCAGTTGCAAAACATGACTATACGCATAACAGGTTATAAAGTTCAGAGGAGCATTTGATCACTTACTTGTTTTTATTGTTTTTTTTATGTCTGCCTTTTGTAATTCAGTGTTTTTGTTCACTGTTCAGGCTGCCCAAGAGCAGTGCTGGCTCAAGGGTATGTGGCACCCCTAAGCCACTTTGACTGATAGTGCCACCTCCTGCCAATGCAAAGATATGCATTTTTAGAATGACTTGGAAGGAGGGATGGCATTGGTGCCCCCTAAACTTTAACAGCCTAGGCCAGTGCCTACCTGGCCATAGTCTAAAGCTGGCCCTGGATCAGAGACTGCTGCTAACTCCTTCTAGCTTCTCCATGAGCTTTTTGTTGTCATCTTCTTTCTGAGGGGATTATTATGGTCTGATCTGGTCTCCCCCTGGCCTCCACACTTCCTTTCAGGTCCTCCAGGCCCTCTTCTCTGGGTGTTGACACTGCCTACAAGGTTTTCCAGGACCTCTTCCTTCCCCTTTCTTATGCAGCTAGCTTTTTATAATAACATCTGTCAGTTGTATTACTAGGGTCTTCGTTGGTCCTGTGCAGTGCAGAGTGGGGAGGACTCTAATTTCTTCCTTGCCCAGCCTCAGGCACCTTCAACACTATTTTCTTGACTGTCATTGCTCCAAGGTGGCTTCTTCTGCCTGTTGATATTGCTGGTGCTGCAAGTTGCTGTTGAGGTCACAGCAAAGAGGTTTGGAGTTCCAGCTTACCCTTCTACCAGCTATTGCTACGTCTGGCCTGGTGCTGGATCCCTTGTTGGCCTCCACGGCTTCCACCAATTACTCAGAAATTGTTCAGCTTCTTACTCTTTGTCACCCATACATGCACATCTTCCCATTTAGCTTCTCTTGTCTGCCCCCACTGTGCTCCTGGTCCAAATCACTACCAGTTTCTTGGCTCCTCCAGATACCTGTCCTCCAGGTTGAGAGGTCCATTACCACCCCTGAGGACCTCCTCTATGACAACTCTGCAACTGCTGACATTGCTACTAGGTAGCTCTGTGAGGGGAGGAAGCGAGGGAAGACTGTCTACCTCCTTGTACATCTTCTCCTGGCTCAAGTCACCCAGGATTTTTAACCTGTGTTCTACTGCTTACTGCTTCTCTGCACTTCTTGTCACAGCTATTGCCATCATTGCTGGGCTGTTTCCCAGCAGAGAGGCTGAAGTTGGTGGTGGTGTCATCACTGGCTCCCCAGTTTCCTTTCACAGCCTGGAGCTCATCGGCATCTTCCTGGCTTGCACACTCACATGCACAATCTTCTCTGCTGCCACACCACCAAATAAAAAAACCAATCAACCTCTACTGCGACAGCTGTGTCTATTTTAAAGGGACTGGCTCCTTTTCTTCAGCAGGATGGGGCCCTTAACTGGTTCAAGGTGGGAGGAAGCGTGCAACACTTTTCATCACCCTGCAGCTGTCCTTGCACATGTTTAGATTTACCTAACATGATAAGCCAAAACACAGAATTAGCATTCTGATCTACCTGTTAAGTGTGGGGCACACTAATCAAAACTCTGTTTTCCATTAATCTTTTTAACTTTGATATTTGTCAGAAACAATTCTTCTAAATTGTTCATAAGTGCAAGCATTTGTTTAGCTAACAACTCCCTAAATTGTTTGTGAGGTCTGAATAAATACATAAAATATTAATCCCATTTGAGAGATAGAAATTGTTTTCATTAATGAAATTAACAGTGCATACGTCTGCCAGAAAAACATCACATATCAATTTTAAAAAACGTTCTGAAAATTTTCTACCCATCTATAAACACTCCCCTTTAATCATTAGTGCTCATTTTTTTAATCAAAGGACCACAAGTTTTTCTACAGCTTAATTAGAATTCATTTATGAAGTACAACAGCAAAAGAAAAAAGCAAATGTGATGAATTTGAGTTGTCAAGTAGGGAGAGTAAGAAATTAAAGATGTACCCATTCCTGTTCCAGCTGGAGCAATCTCTCTGGAAAAGATTTCTACTGCTTCTTTCTGCTTATGAAATACAGCAAGCCAAATGACAACTTCACGGGGACCCTGTTTTCAAATATTAGAAGAGAAAAAATACAGGTTAATAGAACAAACATTTGTTTACTATGCAATTCTTTAAAGACAGAAAAACAGAATCTAAAATGTGAATCAGAAATCATAAGCCATAGTAACTTAAGCTATATACAGTATTTCCCAAAACCTTAATAAGAAATTGTCATTAATTTGTAAAATTGATTACTATTACTGAACTTTATGTTAAATAAAAGTATTAAAAGTAATGACCTAGCAATAGAAATAGCATATACAGGTAGTTAACAAAGGCAGTTGGGACCAGAATTTCCATTATTAAGCGACGCGGTTACAAAGCTTAGTAATGTTCACTTAGCAATGGAAATTCTGGCACTTCTGGTTGCTGTCGATAAGTGAATCACCGCGGGTTGTTAAGCAAAGACATCATGTGGTCGCCATTTGCAACCTCCTGCCAGCTTCCCCACTGACCTTGCTTGTGGGAAGCCGGCAAAGAAGGTCGCAAATGGCGACCACATGACCACGGGATGCTGCAACCTCATAATCACGAACTGGGTGCCAAGCGCCCAGATCATGATCACATGTCCGTAGGGACACTGCGACAGCCAGAATTTCAAGGACCGGTCATAAGTACCACTCATTCACTGCCGTCGCAAATTTGTACGGTCACTGAACAAGTGGTCACTGAGTGGTCACTAAGCAAGGACCACCTGTATACCAAATGACCTTTAGACTGCTGATCAAAAAGTATGGCTTGAATGGTTTATATCAATATTAACTATGATTTTTAAGACATCACTGTTGATAAGCATAAAGTTGTTTAAATTTTACATCCAAAGCTAAATGTAATGAACTGCAAAATACATCAAACTATTTGTTATACAGTAAAGGTTTCTGTCTTAAGCTTAATACTTAATACTAAGGTCTCCACTGTATTGTTACTTATTATTTATTCATATTAAAGAAAAAAGAGAAAAAACAAACAAAAAGAAAATGTTTGAAAAAATAATTTAAAATGCTATTTGGTTTCTAACTTCCCCCTTTTTGTGCCTCTACCAATTTGCAGTGTTTATAAGCATTTAGGCCCCCTTAGAAGCCATACTGTGTTTATATTTGCCTTGCTGCATAATATATTGCATATATGGGAATCATTCTTGCTTGAATTTGGTTAAACTTGATTGCATTATATTCTGAAGTGGAAAACACACTACAATTAAACAGTATTATATTTTTAATGTTATGTGATTTCATAATTTTACCAATTAAATTAAATTAAATGAAAATTGTGAAGATAACAATAAAGATAAATTGTGATGCTACTCACATACCTTCATTCTGCATAGAACCCATTATGATATTCAACTAAGGTATTTTATTTATTTATCAACAATCTTTATATACTAGTCCCAGCAATTTGTAATATAAAATAATACATAAATAAATAATTGTACAACATAAACAATAAAAACAAACACCCAATTCAGCATTGATGAATCATGGCAAAAGCTCTTATTCAAAATATTGCTATCCCAATTCTCCTACAACATTAGGCAGTTTAAGCCTTTCTCTAAAAACAATATAGTCTGAAAACCGTGACATATAAACAAAAATAAATTATCATTAATGAAAATGACTTTATTCTTATAATTGCTTAGCCTCCAATTTGCATTTCTGTTCAGCTTCCTACCTGAGATCAGACTCCACAAAGAAAAGGAGTATTCTCTGCAAATATTTATCTTTGTTTCCATTTACCCTTTCTTTTTTCATGGAGGAGGTGAAATGATGGAGGAGAATCAAAAGGGTAGAAAAATGGAAAGGGTGGAATCCTTTCCTTGATTTCCTCTTAACCTATGAAGTCCCTCAATTTCATACTTACACCCTCTAAGTTCTGCTTTGCATGTGGTCCATAGGTTTCTTCAGAACCTAAAATCTGTAGGTTAACTCCACTGTAGTCCTCATATCCCAGCTGATGAAACATAATCCGTGTCCTGAAACAATTATACTATCTTTGTTTTATAGTATTTTATTTGTATCCCACCATCTTAAAACCTGAACATATATCATAAAATCATAAGTAAAAATATCATCGAGAGCCAGTCTAGTGTACTGATTAAAGGCACCAGGCTAGAAACCGGAAGACTGTGATTTCCAGTCCTGCCGTAGGCATGAAGCCAGCTGGGTGATTTTGGGCCAGTCACTTTGTCTTAGCCCTAGGAAGGAAGCAGTGGCAAACCACATCCTAAAAATTTGCCAAGAAAATTGCACTGACTTGAAGGCATGCATAAATAAATAAACAAATCTCCAATAAAAATATAAATAAAAAACAATCCAACCTGCCTGAGAGGAACCATCAAGTAACTAATGAATTGTAATTAATGAACTGTGGAGTCCTGCTGT